AGGGCTTTTCCAGTCCAGGCAACTCTGGGATGCTGTGGCCCAGCCCGGGGAGGGTCCAGCATGCCGGGCAGGCTGGGGCTGGTGGCAGCTGAAATACGGATCTCGATACCTGAGTATGGAAATGGAGATTTTTCCTTTTTTCCACTTTTGGAACTTTTCCACATGATTTGGAGCCCATGGGAAGGGTTGTGTCTGGCCTGGGGAGGAGGGGGGATGTAGGAGAGGAGAGCAGGCAGAGCCAGCTCCTGAGATGTTGGCTCTGTGCTGTCAGAGCCCTGTTCCCATCAGCTGGCAGGACTTGCTGCCTGCGGGGAGTTGTGTTTGTTTATGGTCTCAGCATCTCCCAGGGACTGGGATGGGTTTTGGCAGGACTGCTGCCGGCTCAGCTCCAGCCCATCTCCCCGGCTGTGCTGCTGCTGCAAAACGTTTCAGCTGCCGCGGTGCGAACTCTCCTGGCACCATTCTCAACACTCTCCTGGTACTTCACCTTCTCTCTAACCAGAACAGCTGCCTCAGGTCTCCACAGCAAGGAGAGTTGCTTCAAAACTCGGTAATAAATCGGGGAAGCGCGTGAGTGAGCTGAGCTGGGCTGAGCCAGGCTGGGAGTCGTGGTGGTGACCAGCCGGCCACTGTCCCCAGCTGCAGGCTCTGCCCCCAGCTTGGGGCTGCTCCCCTCTATTTTGACAGCAGGACCCAAAGCTCAGCACCGTTTTAATTTGGCATGAGCCAGGCAAGCTTTGGCGAGTCTCATACCGCAAGGTCGGGCTCCTCCAGGTGTCCCTCCCGTCAGCAGGGACACCTTCCACTAGACCAGGTTGCTCAAAGCCTCATCCAGCCTGCCCTTCAACCCTCCCGGGGGGGAGCAGCCACAGCTTCTCTGGCCAACCTGGGACACTGTCTCACTGGTGAAGCACCAGGGAAGTTGGTGGGATTTGCACCATCCTTGGAGTCACTTTACATGTTTCAGACCCTTCACCCACCCCTCATGCTCCAGCTCCACCACCCTCCTCCTGCCCCTTTGTAAATGAGTTTCTTTGTCTTGCAGAGAGATGCCAAGGGCCAGTACCTGTTCGACCTTCTCTGCCACCACCTGAACCTGCTGGAGAAGGACTACTTTGGCATTCGGTTTGTGGACCCCGACAAGCAAAGGGTGAGAGCCCGTCCTGCCTGGGCTGGGTGGGGTTTCCTGCAGCTCGGTGCCATCAGGCTTGTCCTTGCTGCTGGGGCTGAGAACCGGGGCGGGAGAGCAGTGGCTGCGCAGCGAGGAGGGTCTCTGCCCCAGTTCTCCCTGCCCCTATTGCTGGGCAGGGGCTCATGGGTGCCCTGACAGGTCGTTGTGTTGCCTGTGGGAAGAGCAGCTACTCACAGACCCCTGAGCAGCCTGGGAGACCCCCACCCCTTCCCACCTCTTTGCCAGAGCCAGGGCTGAGCCTCGTGCTGCAGCCCCAGGATGGGGGGTCGGGGTGCACCTGGGCTTCTGCAGCAGCACCCTCAGTGTCCCGGCCCCGCTGACACCTCCTCAGCATCGGCCGGGATGTGGGAGGAACTTGCACGGCTCCCAGGTCCCATGTCAGTGGTGAAAGCATCTTGTGTTTGCCATGTCCCTGTCACTGCAGGGGGTTGGACTAGGTGGCCTTGAAAGGTCCCTTCAACCCAAACCATCTGCAATTCTATGGGGGACAAGGGGGCTCAGGCCCTCCCACCTCTGCCACAGCGTAGCCTTTGATTTCAAACAGAGGGGTTTTTTATTTCTTTAATTTTGCCTCAAAGAGTCGACGTTATTAACTGACAGTGTTTGTTACTGAGCTGCTTTAATTACCTTCCCTTTCATTTCAGCATTGGCTGGAGTTCACCAAGTCTGTTGTGAAGCAGATGAGGGGTGAGTATCGCTGCGAGCAGATGTCCTGGACAGACAGTGGGTGCTCCTTTCATTTCAGATGTGTCTCCATTTCCTCCAGTCCTTCCCTGCTGGGTCAATTCCCAGAAAAAAAGGACCTTTTTTATAATCCCCAAAGCTGTTCTGCTGGGATGAAAGTGGGGTCATCCTCCACCAGTCCCATGACAGTTGCAGCCAGCTGTGCCCCCCTGGACCAGGACAGAAGTGATGGGGAACAGCCCCATGCGCATCTCCTCCCTCCTTACCCAGGGGAGCTGGGTGTGTTTGGGGGTAATGGGGAGGGCAGGTGAGACCCCCAGCAGCATCTGACCATCTCCTTGAGTGGGGTTATTTGGGTGGATGAAGGGGACAAACCCTGGCACTGGGTGACCGTGGTGTCGCTGTTCTCGCTGCAGCCCAGCCTCCCTTCACCATGTGCTTCCGCGTGAAGTTTTACCCCACGGACCCCGCGGCGCTGAAGGAGGAGATCACCAGGTAAGGATGAGCCCAGGCTTGGCCAAGGCAGGAGCACGCGCTGCCGAGCTTGGTTTTATAGTCAAGGGAGCAGCCAGCACCACGCCAGCTGGTACTGGGCAGCCCAGGCTTGGCCAAGGCAGGAGCACGCGCTGCCGAGCTTGGTTTTATAGTCAAGGGAGAGCAAGAGCCAGTTGGATTTCACAGCATCCCAGAACTGCCTGGATTGGAAAAGCCCTTGAAGCTCATCGAGTCCAACCATGAACCCAACACTGACAAGTCCCCGACTGACCCATGTCCCTCAGCACTGTGTCTACACGACTCTTCAGTCCCATCCCCAGGGGCCAAGGCTGTCGTGCCCCGGAGAGCCCCAGTCACAGCTTGTTTTCCAAAGCTGCTGCGATTTCTCTGCGAGTGCTCTTCACGTCCTTCCTCCCGGCAGGAAGAGAGGCCTGAAGAGCCCCTAAAGATAGAAACTCAGAGAAGAACTGTCAAGTTTCTGCATCACAGTTTATTGCCCATTTCTCCCAGAGCTTTCATGTCCCTTACATAAAAGGGATGCAGCTAATTACTTCCAGGGGATGTCAAGGGAACTGGAGACACTCAAACCCTTCCTGACAGACCAGCACACGCAGTGACACCCCGAGCTGAGGGTGAGCTCAGCAGTGGCACCAACAGCTGGCTCAGCGGAGCACCAGCAGAAATCAAGAGTCTGGCAGGAGAAATACTGCTCCTGCTTGAGCCCACCGTCCTGTACCAACTGGGACTGAGGGTTCCAGCTGGAAGGGGAGATTTTGGAGAGCTGGAGGGAAGGACACGCAGCTGGAGCTGTTCTGCATTGGCAGGATGGCACCGAAGCCACCCTGCCCTGGAGGGGCTGAAGAGTCCTGTAGACATAGTGCTGAGGGACATGGGTTAGTCATAGGGGACTTGTCAGTGTTGGGTTCATGGTTGGACTCGATGAGCTTCAAGGGCTTTTCCAATCCAGGCAGCTCTGGGGTTCTGTGTGAATATGCCTGGGCTCAGCTTTTTGCTGAGTTTTAACAAACTCTCTGTGCTTTTGTTGGGCAGCTCAGCTCGGTTAGAAGAGGAGGAGGATGGTGAAGTGTTTCAAAAACTCTTCTGGAGTTTGTTTTCCCCCTGACACCGTACACAACTAATGAAAGCTTCGCTTGTGTTTCACAGAAAGACCCAAAAACTGAAACTAAAAAACAACTTAAGATGTTGTTTGGAAGCCTAAGGAAGTTTTGGGGTCTTTGGGTCTGACCTGAGGCAGATCAGATGCAGATGAGGAGGGAAGCATCTGTAAAGAGCCCTTAGGGCATTTCCTGGGTCTGTTTGAAAGCATCTTCACGTCCAGAACTCCAGGCTGCCAGGATGTGCTCTGTTACCAGCTTTCTTGGATGGGATTGGTCTGGTTTTTGTACAGGCACATTTTTGGAGACCCACAGAAATGCCCAGGAATAGTTTCACACGGATCCATCTCCTTGATTTGCTTAAGAGGCATTTATTTAGTTTGCAGATTTTACATTTACTCCCAGCAACCAGCAGCCTGTGCAGCCTTAATTTAAATGTGAAATGGCCCAAGACAGCCTCTCTGAATAACGACAGCTATTATGTGGGCATTAAGCTGCGCATACAATATGTTAATTGTAGTTCTTTTCTTTAATCAGAGATTAGCAAACATCTGCAGTTGTCAAGCAGAGTGAGGAGGATTGAAATTCGGGTCAGGGATTTACATTGGAGGGTGGGAGTTGGACCCAAAGAGCATCGGGATGGGACGCATCCGGATGGAGCCAGCCCAGGAGCTCACCAGTTCTAGCTCAGAAATATCTCCCGTCTTCAATGTCCTTTTCCAAGGCTGCCTCATCCCACAGCCCAGCGCTGCCCTGGGAAGCTCCCCCCCTTGCCAGGGGCCATTTCCAAGGCTTTGGAAATTGGGCACCTCTGGAATGTTTTTGTCTGTGAAGCCAGCCCAGACCTACAGACCTGCCCTGCCTGAAGGAACGGGGGTTTCCACAGCAGGCGTGCGAGTGGGGCTGGGGGATTGGCGGGATGAAGTTGGGTTATGCATTGTTGGTGAGGTCTGTGCTCGGTGCTAGGGAAGAGCTGGTGCAGCGATGGTCTGGCGAGGGGTCAGGGTGCTGATGGTGCTTGCGGTGCTTTCCTGGGGGTGTCTGTCCCGTGGGTGACCCCAGGCAGCAGCAGGGTCTTCACCCTGGGGGGATTTGGTCTATAGGCATCAGGGTCTAGAACTTCCTCCCAAGGGGAAGAGGAGGGGCAGGCGCTGATCTCTTCTCTCTGGCCACCAACGAATGCCAGGAGCAGAGGACATGGCAGGAAGATGTGGCAGGGGAGGGTGAGGTTGGCCATGAGTAAAAGGTTCTTGAGGCAGAGGGTGGTGGAGCACTGAAACAGGCTCCCCAGGGAGGTGCTCATGGCACCAAGCCTGACAAGATTGCAGCAGCATTTGGCCAAGGCCCTCAGGGACATGGTGTGAATGTTGGGATTGTCCTGTGCAGGGACAGGAGTTGGACTCCATCATCCTGGTGGGTCCCTTCCAACTCACAACATTCCATGATTCTATGACTGGGAGCAGAAGACCATGTTCTCCTTCCCACTAATAAAGCCTGAGCCTGGCTTTAGGGCTGCTGTCACCTCCTGTCCCTTTTGTGCCCTGCAGCTGATGGGACTGTGGAGCTCTGCAGCCCAGCCAGGCTCAGCCTGTCTGTCGGTCTGCCCAGGGGCTGGGGTCCAGGTCTGACAGTCCCATAGGTCCCCCATGATGAGCCCCCCATGCGGGTGGCCTGTCCCTGCTCACTGCCTTTCCAGCTGTACCTGCAGCTGCAGCTGAACCCTGGGTTTAAAATTCACTTTCCCCTGGAGCGAGCACACTTTCATATCTGGATTTCTCTTTAATGTATTTTATCTGTGGAAATTAGTGGTTTATCTCAACATAAATAGGGATTTGAGTAATGAAGCATGACTGAGGTATTGCTGGGTGCAAGTCTGATTATTTAAACGCATTTCAGAGCGCTCCAATTTCCATTTTGCTCTTTCACTCTATGACTTACATTTTACCATCAAAAGGTTTTCCCAAAAGCATCACCACATGACTCAGCCCAAACTGTTACTTAGGTTTAAATTTATTCAAATATGTAATTTTCCAACAGTTTATCACTGGCCTTTGGTGCGTGGAGATAGAGACGGGTGAGCGCAAGCTGTATCTCGCTCTAGATGATGCGGTGTGGGTCACTGGTGAGGTGGGTGGTGGGTGCCCACGCAGAGACCTGGAAGGACACAGAAAATTCGGGAAGGAGAAAATCACAGAATATTTGGGGTTGGAAGGGACCTCAGGAGATCATCCAGTCCAACCCCCCTGCCAAAGCAGGGTCACCCAGAGCAGGTTGCACAGGGAAGTGTCCAGGTAGGTTTGAACATCTCCAGAGATGGAGACTCCACACCCTCTCTGGGCAGCCTGTCCCAGGGCTCCAGCACCCTCACAGGAAAGAAGCTTTTCCTTAAAATCACATTATGGGGAAGCAGAGCAGGATGCAGGACTGGGAAACGCAGTGTTTGCTGGAGGGCTCAGGACCACGAGAGCCCCTTCAGAGCATCATCCCTGGACACCACAGTGACCTGGTGATGGGCTGGGTTGGCTGGAGTTGTGTTCAGGCATCGCAATCGGGTGAAGCATCGTGGGGTCTCTGGGGGCTGGCAGGCAGAAGGGACCAGCACCTCCTTGTCCAGGAGTTCCCTCTGTTCCCTGGTGGGAATGTGCATCCAAGTATCTCCGTGCCCAAGGGAGCTCTTTGTCTCAGCAGCAGCTCTGCCTGGCTGTGGGTGGCTGTGCCGGTGGGAGCTGGGTCAGTGGAGACCTCGGTCAGCCCTTGGGTTGGGTGCCAACCCTGGAGCAGGCACCGTGTCCCTGTGGGATGTGCTGAATTGAGCCCCAGCACTGGCCCTGAGCCGGGGACCTGCCCTGTAATTAACACTTGTTTGCTCCGAGCAAGCGTAATGTCTTGGAAATGGGCTGCTGGGAGAGAAGTGTCAGTGCAGGTGTCTGCTGGCAGATATTCCACATCTAAATTGCCTGTTTAGGTAATTTAAACTTTGCTTAATAAATGGACTCTCTCTTCTCTCCTCAGGTATTTAGTCTTCCTGCAGATCAAAAGGGATCTCTACCATGGCCGGCTCCTCTGCAAGACGTCAGATGCGGCTTTGTTGGCCGCCTATATCCTTCAAGGTAATGCTTTTTGACAAGATAAATTTGCTTTTCATGCTAAGTACTGATTACATTATTTCACTTACAACAGATCACTGCACCTAGAATACAAATGTCATCTCGCCAGTGTGGGCCTTGTGCTTCACATTGGGTTTGTGCCGTGCTGGGCTGGAGAAGGGTGATGAGGATTCTAGAGGCTTAGCGGGGAAACCATATGAGGAGAGGCTGAAGTCACTTGGTTTGTTCAGCCTGGAGAAGAGGAGACTGAGAGGAGATCTCATGGGGGTCTAGAACTTCCTCCCAAGGGGAAGAGGAGGGGCAGGCGCTGATCTCTTCTCTCTGGTCACCAGCAATGGATCGGAGCAGTGTCCTGGGATGCTCCGAGCCCCGATCCTGCACCTGGACGCTGCCGTGATGGGGATTCACACTGTGCACTGGGTTTTGCTGCTGTTCCTGACTGGTTCTGTCTCCCACCAGCTGAGATCGGGGACTATGACCCAGGGAAGCACCCGGAAGGCTACAGCTCCAAGTTCCAGTTCTTCCCCAAACACTCAGAGAAGCTGGAGAGGAAAATTGCGGAGATCCACAAATCGGAGCTGAGGTACGGCCGGGCGGCTTCGCCGAGCAGGAGCCTCGGCTGCTGCAGGGGGTACTGATACTTGGCTGGTTTTTATCCCTGCTTGGGATTTCCAGTCGTGCTGTGGATGAG